GGGGGAACTACAAAGGCAAGAAGTGACTGGTTTACAAGCTTTCAAGAGGGAGCCTAGATCCAGAGGGTGCAGAGGAAGGTAGAATCTCCACTGAGTAGTATCCAATCTGTCTGGGTGGGACTGATGAAAGGAGATGTGGATAGCACTCATGTAGTATAATAATGAATAATTACTATCAGGACTGACTGTGAGGGTTGGAAATGTAAAGGAAGATGTTTTGTAGCAAAAGGAGGAGAGTGGTTGACTTTAAAGTCCAGGAGCAAAGGGCCCTGGGACCATCAAGGAAGAAGAGCCAAGTGCAGGACCCTACCCAGAGAAACAGTGACACCAGAGACGGAGGCAGAGACAATGACGTGGATAGATGGAGTGACTGGAAACTCTAGACCCAGAGAGGGAGAGGGTGTGTGTGCTGATGACCAGGGGGCAGGCTTGTGGGGTGTACCATTTGGTTGGTTGATGATGGATGGAGGAGATTGTAACCATGGCAATGTAATGATATACAAAAGGATGAATGTAAACTATCACATAATTCACAATAAAACATTTTTTTAAAAAAATACACACACACACAAAAGAACATCATACAAGAAGACATCAAAAGGTCATTAAGAAGACAAGAAGAAGGGAAAAAACAAAAAGAATGTCAGAGGATACTCTGAAACTTGCTCTCCAGCTAGAGATGCTAAAACAAATGGACAAAATGAGGAGGTAAAAGAGCTGAATAGAAATTTTCAAAGGGTAGCTGGAGAAGACAAGGTAAAATATTAAAAGGAAATGCGCAAAGACCTGAATTAGGAAACCAAAAGGGAAAAACACACTCAGCATTTCTCAAGCTGAGGGAACTTAAGAAGAAATTTAAGCTTTGACTTGCAATATTGAAGGATTCTATGGGCAAAATATTGAATGATGTAGGAATCATCAAAAGAAGATAGAAATAATACACAGAATCACTATACCAAAAAGAAATGGTTAATATTCAACCTTATCAAGAGGTAGCATATGATAAGAACCAATGATACTGAAGGAAGAAGTTCAATGTGCGCTGAAGGCACTGGCAAAGAGCAAGGCACTAGAAATAGATGGAATACAAATTGGTAGAAATAATCAGTTTTTATTTTGGGGTGTGGAGCAAGGGAGCAGCAAAACCCGTCTTACGGGGATTTTGTTTATAATTAAGTTTATTAGCTTTTCATTTTAATAATGAGACCTTCACTAGCCGTGAGCACTTGGAAAGTATACTTTCTTCTTTTACTTCTTGTACTATACCTGTCAAACAAAACTTACATGTATTGGATCTAATTTTGTGCCATATTTTAGAATTTAGAAAGTGTTATGAATTAGTGGCGCTGTGGGTCAATGCGATGGACTGCAAGGTCAGTTTGAATCGCAAGGTCAGTGGTTCAAGCTCACCAGTCGCTCCTTGGAAGTCCTATGCAGGGTTGTTATGAATAAGAACCAACTCGACAGCACTTAACAACAGCAACAACAAACATGAATTAATTAGTGGAAAAGCACAAATTTGACTTAATATCCAGTGAATGTACACCTAGGAGGCACTATGATAAGTTCATGCCCACTAAAATATTCTACATATGGGTAGTCCTGATTTGATTACCTTTTCACAAAGGGTACCATATGGTACAGCGTACTCTTGCTTTCCATTCAAACATACGTAAGAACTCTTATCTGCACACATTTCCCTACTCTGAAATCTCCATGATTAAGCTGGGCCAGGTGTCCCAGATTCTCTGTCTCTTTGCCTTCACCTCTCCACTCTTACCTCCCTTCTCCCCTTCACAATATAATCTCCCCATGTTGAAAAGTATTTGGCTTTGCTCAAGTGTCAAATATTGGATCAAGAACATGAGATTATATGTATCACTGTTTGAGGCCAACAGAAATAGCTTTGTCACATAAATTATCATAGAACCAAGAAAGGGAGAAAAAAAAATCAGGGTACTTAACAATAGTTGTATTCATTAAAATCTTCGATTGTATGCCTACATGAGCACTGCCCTTTGCAGGCTCCCACCACTCTGTGGTGGTAACTCTGAACTCCATGACATTAATGTGAGAAGGGCCCAGGAAGATTTTCAAGACTGGTAAAATTTGTAATCTAATGGAGGTCTTTATTTAATTATATAAAGCTCCAGGAGGGGTACTGGTGTGGTGCTGTACAGTAAGTACTAACTGGACTACTAACCGCAAGGTTGGCAGTTCACAAGCACCAGCTGCTCTTTAGAAACCCTTATAGGGTCACTATAAGTCAGAACTGACTTGACCACACTTAACAGCAACAAAAACAGGAGAAGAACTAAAAATTTATCAAAGGCTATGTGGAAAATCTTAATCTGACACCTTTCTTTAGATAGAGATTAAATGAACATTTTAAATCTAAATGTAGTCAGACTTAGAAAGGGCTTTAGAAACCAGAAAGACAGCCTCCTTCCCACTGCAGGAATTCCTCTTCAACAATGAAGACTGTCCATCTTTCAGCCTTGGAATAATTAATAAGATAAAGGACTCTTTCTTTTGTGGTACAATCCTTTTTATTATTGGATAACTCTATTAGAGGGTTCTTTTAGATGGTGAGTCACAATTTCCCTTATTGAAAATTTCAAAGGACTCTTTGGAATACTGGTTGAACTGTCTCCCCCTAAAATACATTAACTTGCCAAGGCCATGATTCCCAGCATTGTGTCATTATCCTCCATTTGGTGATGTGTTGTAAATCCCAATCTCTAAAATGTGAATGAGGCAAGATTAGAGGCAATTATGTCATACGGCAGGATTCAATCTATAGGATTATGTTGTATTTTTAGTCAATCTCTTTGGAGATAAAAAAGATCAAATAAGTGAGCAGAGATCAGAGGGACCTGACTCCCCTCAAGTAAAGAACCAGGAGTAGAGTACATACTTTGGAACCAGGCTCTCCTCACTGAGAACCTCCTAAACCAAGAGAAAGACTAATGCCATGACTCATGGGGATCTCCAAGGAACACTGGGCCCACAGATGTTGACAGGAGACAATGACCTTCCTGCAGAGCCGACGAAGAGAGAAAAAAACCTCTTCCTAGACCCGGAGCTCTGAATTCAGACTTCTAACCTGTGAGTTTCTGTTTGTTAAAGCCATCCATAAGTGGTACTTATATTAAAGCAGCAGTTTATTAAGTAACTAAGATAACTGGGCATCTATAATAGGCTTTTGAGCCAGACACACCTGGGTTTGAATCTAAGGTCTACTACTTTTAAGATATAAGGAGACTTCAAAAAGTTAGTGAAAAAACTCCTTTATCTTTTAATTCCATTTTTCCACAAACTTTCTGGTGCCCCCTCACATGTCGTGCTGCCCCTGAACCTCAGTTCTCTAATTTATAAAATGCTATTAGTGATACCTTCCTTTCATGCTACTGTGAGGATTAGAGACACTGTGTACTAAGTGCCTGGATTATGCGTACATACTCACTAAATGCTAACAATTAGGAGGAGTGGCCTTAGCTTGGGCTTTCTGACACAGTTCACTTTCCCTCAAGACATTCCCTTTGTCCAGCTACAATGCACAGTTTCTTCAACTATTCTTCACATGCCATGGTTTCTAGACCTCTTAAGCACCTTGGTAGTTCTCTGCTGGTTTATTATGGAAAATACCCTTCCATGCATGTCTGTCCATGAGCTCCTTTAGATATGAACATTTAAAAGAAAGCAAAATTCACAAACATTTGTTGACTGGACCAACTCCAGAACATTCTGGGTATCCCTTGAGATGGCGCATCCACAGGTCCTCTCCACCTGCTCTGTCACCCTGATGCCTGAGTTAGCAACAACTGTCAAACCTGCACATCCTGCTCCAGCTTGATTTTGATCATGCTGTACTCTTCACAGTCCCAGATCCTCTGCTGGTTTAGCTGCTTCTCATATTCCTCTACTTTCTTAATGCAGTTTACAAGGTACTCCAGCTGAAGGTATAGAAGATAAAGGGAAAGTCAGGTACAGTCCCTGCCTCACACCCTGACCCATTGGATGGTAGCAGTTTCAGGATGCCAGAGGGAGTCTGACAGCTCTCAGAAGCCCCTCTCCACAAGACGATGGCTTATAATACTTACAAAATCCAAGAGGAATGTTCCACCAACAAATGACACACAAGTTCTACAGTCAGATGTTGATATATTAAAAAAAAAAAAAAAAAAATCCACTCGATCTTGGTCAAGTCATGTTTTTGTTCTTTACATCTCTGAGATGAAGTGAAGACACCATAGCCCCTTTTAAAAATGTGTCTTAAAGCTCTTTCTTGGGCCCCAGACAGAGAGCCAGAAAACAAAGCAGAGTAGTAGAACCACAGAGACCACAGTGAGCCACAACGGTGGTTCTCAGCACCACAGAAAGAGACAGGTTCAGTGTGTGGGGCCCCCTGGTCAAGTGGGATGTGTGGTAACAAAGGGACACTGGGGCAATCCTGCCCAGGAGCCAACAAGACTAAGCAAATTCAGCCACAGGAGAAACCAGACCCTACTTGACACCTCCCTAACCCAATCTACCACCCCACTTTACCTCTTTGGCATTATGAGCCTGCAGTGCTCGCTCCCACTTCTTCTTGTTACTGGTCAGTAGCTCCTGGCGTTCTACTTCAAATGCTTTCTGCAATCAAGAAGGAGTAAAGATCTGGTGAATAAGAGTCTAGGGTAAATTGTGATTAGGCAGGTCTCACTTTTAGATAAAAGCACAAGTGCTTGTCACTAACCACATGGAGTCAAATCCACATGCAGCCTTACCAAGCTTTGTGTGACCATATGGCTATGGAATTTAGATAGTATGAAGACTATAATTTTGTATCCACTACTCGTCTGTCAGTTTGTCGTACTGTGGTGGCTTGTGAGTTGCTGTGATTCTGGAAGCTATGTCACCAGTATTTTATATATCAGCGGGTCACCTATGGTGGACAGGGTTCAGATGAGCTTCCAATCGAAGACAAACTAGGAAGAAGGAGTGACAAACTACTTCCAATTATTTAGTCACTGAAAACCTTATGAATAGTAGAGAAACACTGTCAGATATAGTGCTGGAAAATGAGCCCTTAATTTTCCTAGGCACTCAACATGTGACTAGGGAAGAGCTGCCTCCTCAAAGTAGAGTTGACCATGATGATGAAAATGGAGTAAAGCCCATGGGAATAAAGCCCATGGGACCTTCATCTGCTGATAGGGCATAACTCAAAATGAAGAGAAACAGCTGTAAACATTCATTAATAATTGGCACATGGAATGTATGTAGGAAAATTAGAAATTGTCCAAAATTAAATGGAACACATAAACATTGCTATCTTAGGCATTAGTAAGCTGAAATGGACTGGTATTGGCCATTTTTAATCTGATGACCACATGTTTTACTATGCTGGAAATAACAAACTGAAGAGGAATGGTGTTGAATTCATTGTCAAAAAGAACATATCCAGATCAGTCATGAGGTACAATGCTGTCTGTAATAGAATAATATCCATGTGCCTACAGGGAAGACCAGTTAATACCACTATTATTAAAATTTATGCACCAACCACTAAAACCAGTGAGGATGAAATAGAAGAATTCTAACAACTACTTCAATCTGAAACTGATCAAACATGCAATCAAGATGTATTGATCATTACTGGTGATTGGAATGCAAGGTTGGGAGCAAAGAAGAAGGATCAGTAGTTGGAAAATATGGCCTTGGTGATAGAAATGATACTGGAGATCACATGATAAAATTCTGCACAACCAGTGATCTGCTCATTTCAAATATCTTCTTTTGACAGCATAAGAGGCGACTATACACATGAACCTCACCAGATGGAATACATAAAAATCATATTGACTACATCTTCAGAAAGAGATGATGGAAAAGCTCCATATCATCACTCAAAACAAGGCCAGGGGCAGATTGTGGAACATTGTGCTCATATACAAATTCAAACTGAAGCTGAAGAAAATGAAAACAAGTCCGTGAGAGCCAAAATATGACCTTGAATATATTCCACCTGAATTTAGAGATCATCT